AAATTGGAGCCGGTGAGCGAACGGGGGGTCTTCCTAGGGTATGAGCCGAACGCGAAGGCCTACCGGGTCTTGAAAGAGAGGACCGGAGTTGTGATTGTCTCCCGGGACGTTGTTGTGGACGAGCGGGGGCCCTCCGGGGTCGTTGAGCTTGGCTCCGCCCCGGGGAAAGAGGAGGGGGGTGCTCGCGACCCTTTGTCGTGTGAGCCCCCCGACTCAGATGGGTGCAGGGGCTACCCCTACGGGGGAGGCCGGCACTCAGCTTGGTGCAGGGGCTACTCCTACGGGGGAGGCCGGCACCGGGAGCGAGGAGTCCGTTTTGACGGAGGGCGCCGAAAAGAGCGGCGAAGTCGTGGAAGAGCCGGTGGTCACCCCGGCGGATTTGGGGACGAGGAGAAACCCCCCAAGAGAGAGGAGATTGCCGGAGCGTTTTAGGGTTAACCTCGCGGCGGAAGGGGTTAGGGATAACCCGCCAAAGGGGTCAGGGGAGCATCCCGAGCCCCAAAGCTATCAGGAAGCCATAGGGGGAGAAGAGAGTGAGCTCTGGCGGTTGTCCATGGACGAGGAGATGCGGTCTTTGTTGGAGAACGGGATTTGGGAGCTCGTCGAAAAGCCGGAGGGGGTGAAGCCGGTTCCCATGAAGTGGGTTTACAAGATTAAGCGGGATGCGCTTGGGAACGTGGAGCGGTATAAGTCTCGGTTGGTGGCAAAAGGGTACTTGCAAAAGCAAGGGATTGACTTCCAGGAGGTCTATGCCCCGGTGAGCAAGCACACAACCTTGAGGGCGCTTCTCGCGGTGCTTGCGGCGCGCGACCTAGAGCTTCACCAACTCGACGTCAAGACGGCGTTCCTCAACGGCGAGCTGGAGGAGACGATCTACATGAAGCAGCCGCAGGGGTACGAGCAAGGCGGGCCGGAGATGGTTTGCCTCCTCAAGCGCTCCCTTTACGGGTTGCGCCAGGCGCCGCGGGCTTGGTACCTGCGCCTGAAGGAGGAGCTCGGGTTGCTTGAGTTTGGGGCGTCCGTAGCGGACGCGGCGCTTTTCGTGGGGGAGGTCGACGGGGAGGAGGTCTTCCTTCTCGTTTGGGTGGACGACATCCTCATCGCCACTCGTGGGAAGGACCGCGTGGCAAAGATGAAGGCCCACCTCGCGCGGACGTTCGACATGAGGAACTTGGGGGAGGCGACTTACTTCCTCGGGATGGAGTTGGCGCGCGACCGGGAGGCGCGCACCCTGAAGCTGACGCAGAAGAAGCAGACGGGGGAGCTCCTTGGACGACACGGGTTGGCGGGCGCGGGGGCGCGCGGGCGCGCTCGGTTCCCCTCGGTACGGGGGAGAAATTGATGAGGGAGGGGACTCCGCTTGACACGGCGAAGTTCCCCTATAGCGAGCTCATTGGAAGCTTGCTCTATTTGAGTGTGTGCACGCGGCCCGACATTGCTCAGGCCGTGGGGGCACTGGCGCGCTACACGAGCGCGCCAACGGAGGCGCATTGGGCGGCGGCGCTCGGGGTGGTGCGCTATTTGGCGGGGACGGCGGAGGCCGGGGTAACCTTTGGGGGGAGCGATGAGCTCCTTGAGGTGTTTTGCGATGCGGATTTTGCGGGGGACGTTGACTCGAGGCGTTCCACGACGGGGTACGTCTTCCTGATGTACGGGGGAGCGGTGAGTTGGTCAAGCCGTTTGCAGCCGACGGTGGCGGTGTCCACGGTGGAGGCGGAGTTTATGAGCGCGGCGCAGGCGGTGAAGGAGGCGCTGTGGTTTCGCAAGCTCGGGGGAGACTTGGGGTTGGGCCTTGGCACGGTCCCAATCAACTGCGACAACCAAGGGGCAATACAGCTCCTGAAGCATCCGGTCGCAGCACTGCGGTCGAAGCACATTGACGTGCTACATCACTTTGCACGGGAGCGGGTGGCGCGCAAGGAGGTTGGGTTCGCGTACTGCGGGACGGACGACATGAAGGCGGACATCATGACCAAGGCGCTGACTCCGGGGAAGTTCTCCAAGTGCAGGAAGGAGATAGGAATTGCGTAGTCATCAATGTGTGGGGGAGTGTTGAGATCTAGGCTTGAGTATAGGGTAGTGACACCCTAATGACTTGGTATAATTTGCCGTAGATCTCGCTCGACCGAACTCGGGCAGTCGCCCGGACTCAAATTCGGTCAGGATAAAACCGGGGCAATCAAGTGCCGTCGAAATTTGCAGTCGCGAATTTCAGAACGCAACCTGGGCACAATGTGCCGGCAATATTAGTCCTCGGTTATGCGCAGACATAGGGCTCGGACTCAGTCGAGACTTGGCCTAATTTTAAACTTGCGAACTCGATATGACTCGGCGGATTGCCTTGTATTGGAAACTTACTTCTAGTAGTTGTGCTTCCTCTTGAAAGGCGCTCAAGGCGCGTTTATTTCAACAGGTTATGGACCCGCCAAAGGGGTCGGGGGAGCATCCCGAGCCCCAAGAGTTATCAGGAAGCCGCCGTAGGGGGAGAAGAGAGTGAGCTCTGGCGGTACGAGCAAGGCGGGCCGGAGATGGTTTGCCTCCTCAAGCGCTCCCTTTACGGGTTGCGCCAGGCGCCGCGGGCTTGGTACCTGCGCCTGAAGGAGGAGCTCGGGTTGCTTGGGATGCATTGGAGGCGATCTACAAAGGCAAGAGTGCCACTCGGAAGTTGCAACTCCGGCAAAAGCTAACAACCCTCAAGCAAGGGTCCGGTGAGTCCGTGGCCGCCTACGTTGGCAGGGCTAGGGATCTTGAGAGGGAGTTGGTAAGCGCGGGGTCGGATGTGAAGCCGGATGATCTTGCCATGTCCGTGTTGACTCGCGGGTTGTCTAAGGAGTACGGGACTGTGGTAACGGTCTTAATGTACTCGGATAAGGTCAGCTCGGTGGACACTATGCTCCCAATGCTGCAG